CGCGGCGCTGAGGGCGATGGAGAGGGGCCAGAGCCGTCCACCGGGGACTTTCAAAATGCCATTACGAGCCAATGTGAGACAGCGGCTCCTCAGCGCCGAGCCAACCGCACCAGAGAGAGACACATGTTGTTTGGGAGGAAGGGGGCTAATACAGGAAATGGCTCCGCTACGCCCCCCCCCCCTCTTGTACCTCCTGACCGGAGAGGGAATAAACTCTGAGAGCGCCTGCCACCAGAAAAAACAAGGGAAGTGAAGGTCACCGAGGTCAAATGTGACACTTAGTTAAAACACACCACCGCGGCTATGATGTCATTGAGGCCTTCCCTCGGCAGGAGGACGCCACGCCGGTCTGACCTCGGCTGGGGTGAAACCACTGGTTTTTAAAGCCTCGCAAATTACAGACGGGTTTCACAACATCAAGGTCGCTGCAGTGTTTGTGTTGAAAACCCGCGTTTGAGATGCCACTTGATCAGAACCCATCGTGTTCCACTTACTATAATTGAACGTGTCGATTGTTTTTAGAATCCTTTCATTTTCTTTTTCGATGCACTGTGAAAATATACGTGGAGAAAATTGAGAGCACCTGTGAAAGCTCCGGCTGTGAACTGTGAAACTAGCTGAGTGTAAAGGAAGCGTGCCGTTGTGCAGGTGAAGGTGACCCAGACCACCGAGGCCCACAAGGTGCCGCAGATCATCAACACGCTGCAGAAGGGGGATTACTTCGGAGAGAAAGCACTCATCAGGTAAAATAACAGATCGCGAGCCGGGAAAGAAATGTTTTAACAGCTATTGCACGTTACGTTAATTTCACTCACGTGCGTTTTAAAAGAAACTAATCCTCAAACCTTTATCAAAACAGTCGAGGGGTCGGAAATGTGTTTATTTTTGTGCACGTGTTTTTTCAGTGACGACGTCAGGTCAGCGAATATCGTGGCAGAAGAGAACGGGGTGGAATGTCTCGTCATCGACAGAGAGTGAGAGAAGCTTTGTTTCCTAACCGTGTCACTTCCTGTGTGTTTACTCTGCATCTTAATGACGGTGGTGGCTCAGCAGAAATATCAGTTCACTAGTTCTGTTTGTTATTCTCTGTTAAATTGGGGAAAATTAAAAAAAAACTATGTTTAAGAAAGAAAGAAAGAATGAAAATCTTGGATTCGCTCATTTGTCCTGATCCATAATTGAATAAGAGTTTTACAAAAGTCTGTTTTTGTGATCATGCTAACAGACACATGTTGTTTTTGTTCTCTACAGGACATTCGATCAGACGGTGGGCACCTTCAACGAGCTGCAGAAGTACCTCCAGGGCTACGTGGCAACGCTCGATCGTGACGACAAGAAGAGACATGCCAGGTAGACGCGGTGCCAGAGACATGAAGAGAAAGCTGTGTTAACGGTCTGAACCGCTCTCATAGAGCCGCCACTGTGAGAGCAGCTGGCAGAACGAAGTGCACGGAGAAGTTCTCCATCAGTGAAGCCGTTTGAGTTTTATTTCTATGGTGTAATCAGGTTATTGAGGTTTTTAAGGAAGGAGGAGACACGTTGTGGGACGGGACGGACGTCATCGTAGAAAATGATGCATTAACTGGTCAGAAGGTGTTTTTTTGCTAAAAGTGAAAACAGAAACTAAACCCACCTGTCGTCGTCATATTTGGAATTCCGTGGATTAAGCGTCGAGGGCCCTCTGTCCGTCTCTGTCTCCATCCAGGAAGTCGGTGTCACGCCACCAGAGTCAGCCGCTGCCTCCTGATGTCGTCCAGCTGAAGGACATGGTGTCGGTGTTCCCTCCGTCCAGACCCTTCGACCACCTGGACACCATCGCTACACTCGGGGTCGGTGGCTTTGGACGAGTAGAACTGGTGAGTGTGCATCATAGATGATATGATCTTTGACTGACTGACCAATTAACCAATTAACTAACTAACTAACTGTCTATCATCCCCCCCCCCCCCCCCCCCCCCCCCC